CCATCCATCCATCCATCCATCCATCCATCCATCCATCCATCCATCCATCCGTCCATGAATGATATATTCCTGAAAAATAATATTGTAGAGCATCAGGAAGCTTTTCTGGTGACTGTTTTCTCAACTCAGATGTTCTGCCACATAATAACACAGAAGGTGCTAAATCTGAACAGCATGATTGATGTTTGCTGCTATAATTCAGTTTTGATTAGAAGTAACTTGAACAAATTTGGCAAAATTTATCTTGCCAAAACAAATATGCATATCGGCATCAACATATAAAGGTGAGCTTTCCGCACTTGTATTTCTATGAATTCTGCAAAAGCTGCTTACACTCACCTGTTTTGCAACAACACTAAGCCACACACTATAATTAACTACCACAGAGCATGCCTGTTTCATCTTTGAGGAGCAGTGTTATGTGTTTGATAACAGTAATTTTGTCATCAGCTAAAGGACAAAACTCATCCACAAGAGTCTGTAAAAGAATCAACCTTACACCGTTTTTAAATTACATTGTGTCAAAATATTGACTCATATTCAAGTCATAAAGCAACAGTATGTAATTTTGTCTCAATAAAGCGTGTAATCCATCTCCTTTGATTATAGAGCTACATACTCTAACTGGCCACTTTATTAAGTGCACCTGTTTAACTGCTCATTAACACAACTATTTACTCAGCCAATCAAATGCAAGTTCATTGCATTTAAATGACCTCCACAGTCACCAGATGTCAATCCTGTGTAGAGCAGGAGTAGAGCACCTTTGGGATGCGGTGGAGCAGGTGGACATTCACATGATGAATATCCACAGACTGCGTGTTGATGTCAGTTCAGCATGGACCAAAATCTCTGAGGAATGTTTCCAACTTTGTTGAACGTATGCCACAAGGAATTAAGGTAGTCAGAGGTCCAACCCCTGTACCTGCAAGTTCTACCTAATAAAGTGTGAGTTTAAATGTCTCTGCACAGGAGATTTAAAAGAAGCAAAGAGTAAATATATTTTTTAAGACAGCAATTTTTCATTCACTCTGTCAAGCGAAACCCAAGAGAACCCGGCCGATCAATGCCCTTACCTCATCAGCAGACACAAATACACACTCATTCTCAAGTCGTCACCACAACTCTTTCAGTCGGTGCTCGTTTTGTGAGGTCATGGTGTCACCTCAGGTTTTCTTTTCCGCAATTGGCTGTGGTATTGTCCCATAATGTCTACCTATTATCCTTTTTTTTTCCTCTATTTTGATCTGTCATTCTTTCTAACTATTCCTCATAAAAATTGTTCTCCGTTATCCTGGTTTTTATCAGCCCCGTTCTATGTCTGTTTGTCCCCTCATTGATGTTAGAGTGAATGAATTGCTCTCTTTCCATTTGCTCTTTTGTTATGCTGGCTGTCAGACACAATATCGAAGACATCAAAAGTGAAAATTGCAGGAGAAGATGCTTTTAAACATCATATTTTTCTGAGTGTTTCAAATATTTTCACGTCGCTGGACTTTCTGTTAACGCTTGGCAGTGCGAAGGGTAGTAATACTTCGTATTATTCTTTTATTCACTCTTGCAGATTTTCTTTTCATTTTAGTTTCTTCGTCTGCCTTCATCATATCTCAAAGTGATCCATATTTTTCTATGCAGAATATGTGTAGGCAGTTGCAGCGATACAACTCACTTTTCAAGTGGCTGACAATACCAGCTGTCTCTGACACCTCAATATTCAGCACTTAAAAAAAAAAAATCAAACCTTTGATACTGATTTTGTAAAAGTATATCTGTATTGACATTAAAACTCACTTCAAAGCCCTTATCTCTCTTTATTCAAACACCGGCTACCGCAAGTTTGCGGCTAAATGTTTCAGAACATTGTAATTGCAACATTAACGTGTCAAATCCAACACACGTCTTACTTGTACAGATCACATTTCAAGACGTCAAGGTTTGTCTTTCACGCAGAGTAAAGCTCTTGTCTATTTTTAGGGGAAAGGGTTGGAGGCAAGAGAGAGAGATGTCATATAATACTGCATTTATGAATATGTAACATAGCTTCCAGCTAAAAGAGCGTGCACGTGTCTGTGTGAGCGTGCACTTTTTAGTATTTTTCTGTATTTGTTAATCATCACACAGTTCACAGTATTTGCATGCATCCACACATTGTTGTTCGTGCACATTAAAGTCCCTTCTTGCGCGTCTGTCTTTGAATGTGTCTGTGCATGTTTACTATGTACAGTATTTTAATGTGTTTGTGTGTAAAAGACAGCATTGTGTGTGTGCGTGCGTGTGTGTTGTTGCAATTCCTTGTCGTATTCACACAGTGTACACTGTACCAGCTTTGAATTAATTATCCCAGCTTTATAGAATAAAAGCTTACCATTGTACCAGTGTGATTTTGAGAGCTAGCTAATGCAGCTTAATGATTTCGTATGGTTTCAGCAGACCGGCTTCCAGCCATGGCCGAGTCTGAATTAGTAACATTGATTCCTGTAATGAAAAAGAGAGTAGCGCTGTTAAAAGTGACTTGTTGAAATTTCCTCTTTTCCCCCCAACATGGAGTATTTGTTTGATTTGGTCCAGTTGTCTTTGATTTGAGACTTGTAGAAAACCCTGTGCATCAATTTACATTCTTATACTGTAGGGGATCATAAGATTTGACTTGTAGTATCAGTGCACTGAACATGCATTAAGGAGCTTTCAGTGAATTTCCTGTTTTTGGTGTGCAGTCCTGTTTAGGCTTAATAAATACAAGACAAAAAATATAAAAGAATCAGTTTAATGGCATTGGTTTATGTGACACAACATCCGAAAACAATGTTAAAGTCCAAAACTGTTATTTATGGTGTACTTGCTTCCTAAAATGTAAAAGTTCCATATTGATATGGAACTTGTCTATCTTTGTTTATTTTCTATCAGGGCTGTCAACGGTAACGCATTAGCGTGATTAAAATCTTTTACGCAATTAACCCATCTGGAGCGCAGAATGACTCAAAATCCATGAAATGTCTCTGTCAACACATTTTGGGCAATTTGTCCAAAGTTTGTCCATTCTGGGCTCCAGATGGGTTAAATGCATTCAGTAAACATGCAAATAGAGAAATATTCACCTGCATCATGTTTGTACATTATTAAACTCATAAAAGCTAACTAGCTTTATAAGTAACCATCAGCCAAAAGAGCGTTATTAGGCTAAAGTTGGTAAAGTCAGCATCATCACTAAGGGGGGGCATTGCTGTTACCAACAATGTGGCTGTGCCGAGCAGTTTTCACATCATAGCCAAGTGATTTGCTGGACAAAGATCTGGTGCAAAATAGTGTGTTTATGTACCAGAAAATATTCCATAAATTACATTTTTGAGATGTTGTTTGGAGAGGTGTACCACTTTAATTGATTTCACACAGCCTGACAAATTTCCTTTGGAGTTGGGGCTGTATTTGCAGACAACAAAGTTAAGACAACAAACACAGGAAATAGTGGAGTGTCCTCTTGTTCTTGATTTTGTCATTACTTGCTTGTTTATGTGCACAATTAAGTTTTTTTGTCTTTCTGTGTCCCTGTGCTGGGTCACATATGTGCAAAAAAATGTATGGTAGAAATGCAGCTGTAAAAGCCTCGGTAATATATGTCTCAGTTCAGTTCTCCAGCAAACTGCTTCAAGGGCCATGTAGGTTGGTTAAATCCATACTGGGTGAGCAATACAGGACTTGTAGCCCACAGTTTCACCCCCAGGAGTATGTATATGTATATGTGTACTGAAAAGGTCAGAACTTAAACCTTTTATACTCTCAATAAGCTAGAACCATAAATAACGCTGGGCTTCTCGTTTGGAACTGTTCAAAACAAATATTCAGAAGAGTTCAAAATGCTTACACATGATGCAGTTTTTCAGCATAGCTAACCAAAGATATGT